CCTTTTTTAAAATGTACGTGTTGTTTATATGTTATTGTTCATATTTTACAAGTGTTATTTCCACCCCTATGAAGATAACAAATACCAACAACCCTGTTATAAGAGAATATATTATTTGTGCTCATGTTCAAGCTAGTGTATAAAAGATCGTTTATTTCTGCAGTCCAGCATGTATTGCTTTTATTAAAGTTTAACAGCTCACATCACAGCGTTTTTAAACCGCATATTATTCTGTGTTTTTAAATGTAAGTGCTTCTATTTACATCAGCTAGCCTTTGTTATAGTGCAGTTACCGGCAGTCAAATGACTGTTATAGTGCAGTTACCGGCAGTCAAATGACTGTTATAGTGCAGTTACCGGCAGTCAAATGAGCAGTTCGGGGGGCGTGGTTGATTTTACATAAAGCGTTTGGTTGGAAGCTCGATTCCGCTCATTTTCGCGGCTCCTCCTCTGGCTCCATCATGCTGTGTTCACACCAGACACGGAACGTGCGGATAAATCGTGCTTAAATGGCCGCGTGAACATTTGAAGTTACTTGCTTAATTCGCGTGTCAAATTCACTTCAGAACAGACACAGATACGTGTGAAGGGCAGGGCTTTTGTCTGCCCCGTGACTCTAGCTTCATATCTAAAGGGCTAACATGGATTTTATGAAGAAAATAACAGTGTTTATGTGCTTAATGAAGGATGATAAACAGCATCAATACGTTTAGTGCTGTGTCTGAGTCCACTACATCCTTTCAGAGGTGCATCCAGCTCTTTAAGCTCATAAACTCCTCCAGAAAATGAACCTGGCTGATGGAGGTTTTCAGCGGTGCTTCTGACTGAGCCCAGCCCAGTTTGATGAACTTCTTGTCGGTGTCTGCTGGGGGATTTCCCCTGGGACACTGACAACAGGTGATACGTTACAATCACGCCCCCACAAGAGCAAGCTCCTGATTGGTTAACGCGGCGCGAATGCCCGCTGAAGTTCAGATTTTCTCGAGTGATTCACGTCAAACGCTTAAAACACTCAATTCGTGCCACGCCATTCGCGCCATGCAATTCTCATCATTCGCGCCGTGACATTCACGCGTATCGTGCCGCAGGATGTGTATTCGCGCGTATGCATTGACTTAACATGTAAATCACTCGCGTTTGACGCGTGTTCCGCGTCTGGTGTGAACGCAGCATCAGACAGTCCTTCTGTGCATGTCCAGGCTCCAATTTCAGCAGTCTTTTGCGACAGTTTGTGCCCGTCAAACAGGCGTTTTGCCCTCAAGGCGTTCAATGGGAAAAGGGGCTGTCGCGTCGTCCATATTTTTTACAGTCATTAAATCATGGCCTCCCAATCATCCCCTTCCACCAAATTGGCTCTATCACTGTCTCTCCACTCCACCAATAGCTGGTGTGTGGTGAGCTCACTGGCGTCGTTGTCCTGTGGCTGCCGTCGCATCATCCAAGTGGATGCTGCACACTACTGGTGGCGGTGTGGAGAGACCCCCCTCATGATTGTGAAGCGCTTTGGGTGTGTGGCCATACACAATAAATGCGCTATATAAATACACATTACATTACATTACATATTTAGTAACTAATTCTTTAAGTTGTATATTTAGATTATTCATGTAATTCAGTTTATTTTCCTTGATCCCCACATTATAATTTTACCTCGCATAACAGCTTTAGCTGCGTCCTATAGGATACTAGGTGACCCCTCTCCATTATCATTGTTTTAAATATTCTAATAGTTCTTTTTTAACATATTCTACACATGTTAAATTATCCAAATGATAAGGGTTAAATCGCCAAAATGTCTTTTTGGCTTTATTGTCCAGGTACACTGTTAAATAAGCTCCTGCTTGGTCTGAGATGTCCCTTGTTCCTATTTTACAGTCTTTTATTTTATGTTGATCAGACCCAAAGTAAAAAGATAAATTCTAGAATGATACATGTGGGCGGTAGAAAAGAAAGTACATTATTTTTTAAGAGGGTAAATGTCTCTTCAAACATCTATTAAGCCTAATTCTTTCATCAGATATTTTATTTGTTTAGTTTTCTGACTAATTTGCTTATTAGAGGACGAGTCCAATTTAGGCTGAAGTTGTACATTCCAGTCTCCCCCACAGATCAACATACCTGACACCTCCTTAGCTATAATACTTTTTTTTTTTTTTGAGAAATGCTTTGTCTTTTTCAGGAGGTCTAAATATATTAACTAACGCAACTTTTTGGTCGATAGTTCCTTCATCCTTTTTTATCAGTAATTTCAGAAATTAACTGAAATTAGATTTTATTTAAGATTAATGTCATTACTCCTTATTTACGACCATTATTATATGAGAAAGATAATAAAATAAAAAGAAAACCTTAAATCCCATTTTTTTTCCAATTTCTTATGTTCTGTATCAGAAAGATGTTTCTCTTGCCAGAAGATTATCTGTTGCTTTTCTCTTTTTATTTTAGCCTTGAGTTTGCTTCTTTTAATCAGATTTACTAACCCATTAATATTGAAAGTAATTACTCTATATTTCTGTTTTTGCATATACTATAATCAGATGTTATTGCGAAGATCACTGTGACCGGAACATGAAAAACACAAACAAGAAAATCTTGAACACATACAAAAAATAACGAAAACGGTCTTCAACCCTTAAAGTCTTAAATAACTTCTTAACGTGAGGGGAAAGTCTTCCTACTCTAAAGGGCCTCTCCTTGCTGTGCCTATTGCACAAAAAATGTTAACGAATATATTCAGCTCCCATGTCTGGGAATATTCTTGTATTTCTGGCTAGGTTTTCAAATTAATATTTATACTAATTATAGCAAGGGATTTTAAGTGTATAAATTCGAATCCTTTTATGTCTTCCTACCAGTATGTTACTCAATGGCTTGAGTCTTGGTGTGCTTTATTTGTTCATCTTGTGTCGTTGGTCAGACTGTTTAAATACCATTCTTCCTTTAAACTATTTAAATGTCCATTACAAGGTTATTATAGTTAACGAAAACGAAAAATTAAAACTAAAATGTAAAATAATTGTCGTTAACTGTAATAAAATTAAAAACTAGTTCTTTTAAAAACTAGAACTAACTGAAACTGTGTTGTGTAGATACAAAACTAACTGAAACGAACTAAAATGATAGCAAAAACCTTGTTTTCGTGTTTGTAAATGTATTTAATACATAATCTTACTGTAAGCCTTTTAGAAGTAAATATATTCCGCGCTGCAGGTGTTTGTGTTTGATCCTTCCGCACCTCAGTGTCTCCTGCTGCCATTGGCCAGATCGAGCCGGCTCTCCTCCAGTCATCCTCGCTGTTGCTCCCGCGACAAAAGCAATGAGTGGACATGACAGCATCACGGCGACAGCATTAAATAAAGATACTTAAAAGTATTACTTTAACACGTTTATGCCCAATAATGGGTTTTATTTCTGTATCGCGATCGCGAACGAATCTTTTTAACCGGATCTTCTAACTGAACCAGTTGAACTAGTTCACTAAATCGAACTAAATCATTTGAAACGATTCGCGTCTCCAGTAAGAACTTATCCACCAACTACTTACTTTATAACAAGTCTAATACCCCTCTGACTCTAAATAAGCCAATATATACTCTCATTCAGTTATTAGAACAGCAACTTTACATTGAGAAGCGGTGAACCGTTAATACTGCGCATGCGTGATTCAGTGAACCAAACAAAAACAGTACAGCCCTCAGCCTGCTGTGTGACTGATCTGAACCACTGAACTGAACTGGAAGAACTGAAGCACGGGTAAACTAAGGCTTAAATGAGAGGATCTGGTGAAAAAACGCAAGTTTATTTCATAGCAGACAATCATAATGGAATTTAAATGAGTGAATCATGATTCAGTTGGGTTGCAAAACTTTACTGAAAGACTTTTCTGATCATTTTAATTGACTTAAATTACTATTGCTGACTACATAATGTTGAGTCCTAACATCCACGTTAAAAATCTGAATTACCCATCAGCAGGCCCGGATTAATAATTCAGAGCCCATTGGGCACAATGTCTTGAAGGCCCACTATAGCCGCACCCTATAGTTGAATTAAAAAATAAGATTAATATAATATTTGATAAAAAAATTATCTATAATGTATTGCCCACATTTTTTAAATAATTGATATACAGTACATATATTTCTATTCTACAAAGATTTAACTTATTTTTAAAGCATTTAATTTGAAAGAAAAAAATACTAATACAACTAGGGGAAATTAATGGATTTTAATGTACTTGTTCAAGTTCACTGAAGCAGTATTAAAATGTATATTTAGGGTATTTTAATGTATAACTTCTACAAACTTATACTGCACATGATTTGGATAACACCTCTCCAATCCAGTTCTAGGAGTCGGAGTCCTCCATAATACACACACTTATCAATAATTCCCACTTGTCTTTTTGGTGATGAAAAGTAGGCAAAATCTAAGTGCGGACGGGCCCCTGGGCCTGTGCCCATAATGCCTATAGTTTTATCCGGCCCTGTCCATCACTACTGGGTGTCTAACTTGAGGATGGGTAGATGGTTGTGGTGGATGATAGTGTTCATCTTCTTTTAATACATGTTTTAAAAAATGTGTGGCTGAGTTTTTATTATACAATATTTATACTGTTGATTTTGAATTTTGCATCTAACAAATATCCTCATTTAAAAAAAAAACTGAAACTAATACTGAAACTAATAAAAAGACATTTTTTAAAATATAGAAACTAATAAAAACTAAGAAATCTGCCTCTAAAACTAATTAAAACTAACTGAATTTAAAAATAAAAAGTCAAAACTAAATAGAAACTAAAACTAATGAAAAATCCAAAACTATTATAACCTTGGTCCATTATCGGTGAATCAAGTCAAGAAGTTTTACCAGTCTCTCAGAGTTCTTTGTTAGGATCTACCAGGTTTTACCCTTCTTCCAAACAAAGCTAGTGTTGTCCCTTTGAAATTCACATAGTTTTTCCCGGATCTTCGCTTGATGTTTTTCCTTACTTTTCTTCCATGTCACTCCAACCTTTTGCCAAGGTCTTTGTTTCTCTTTCCCAGGGATTCCTATAATAGTTTCTTCTTCGCTGTTTATCAGTCCTTTTTCTTTCAGACTTTCTCTTGATGCCTCCGTCATCAAATTGTACATGACCGCCCTGCTTTCCAGAAAGATTCGGTGTTTGGAACTTAATCCCCTTTTCATTCAGAATTTTTCTTTTCGGAGCAAAAGCCCGTCTTTTCTGTTGGATCTCAGGTGGGTAGTCTTGGTCAAAGAAAACTCTTTTTTTATTTCAGTGTATTAATTTTTTTCTCCATGCAAAGCGGAGGACCAGGTCCTTTGTTTTCCAAAAAGATTTTAAGTCTTGCCGGCGGTGGTGTTTAGAACTTAATTCCCTTTTCATTCAGAATGCTTCCTTCCGGGATTCCAAAAATCTGATTATTATTTCTACGGGAGCGTTTTTCTATATCTCACAGTTTCTCTTTTAAATTTTCTTGTATTTGAATGGATTGATTGAGCATTTCTTTCATCTCTGCAATGTTCTCCTCCAAAATTCTCCAACTCGCTGCTCCACTTCGTTGACCTTTTCTGTCGTTGCATTTAGGTCCGTGATAAGGTCATCCAGTTGTTGATTGACTTCTTGTTTACAGTTACTTAATTCCATTTTCACATCTTTTGCGAGAGAATCTTGGAAGGCGGTTAAATCAGATTTAATATTCTTCTGGAAAGCTTTGATGTCTGTAAATATTGCTGCAATGATAGGTGACAGGCTATCAGCTATCCCGTCCGTCTTGGATTTTTCATCTGTTGATTTCTCATTTTTTTCAGGATTAACTGATTGTTTTGTCCTAGCCTTTTTGTTTTTGTCCCTCCTCCATGTCATTTAAATATGGTTTAGGTTATTATATATGATGTAAAAAGGAGGATTAATACCAGTGTGTATGGAAGCGCTCTTTCTATGCTGCTACATGTGTCGGCGCCTTACCAGAAACCATCCCATGTGTTTCTTAAGCTGCCCTGATTAAGTGAAACTTTGTACACACTGATCATGTCTACAGTTTCTCTCCAGTGTGAATCCTCTCATGTGTTTTCAGGGTTCCTGAGCGAGTAAACCTCTTACTGCACTGTGAACACTTGTACGGTTTTTCTCCAGTGTGAACCCTCTGGTGGCGTTTCAATTCTGCAGCTGTAATAAAAGTATTCTCAATCTTCAAGCACATAAACTCTTTCTCTCCAGTGTGGATCATCATTTGTCGATTAAGGGATGTTGATTGGCTAAAACTCTTCTCACACTGAGTGCATGTGAATGGTTTCTCTCCAATGTGGTTCCTCATGTGTATATTAGGGTTTGATGATTGGCTGAAACTCTTACCACACTGAGTACATGTGAATGGTTTCTCTCCAGTGTGTATCCTCATGTGTAGATTAAGGGATGTTGATTGGCTAAAACTCTTCCCACACTGAAGGCATGTGAATGGTTTCTCTCCAGTGTGGTTCCTCATGTGTATATTAAGGTTTGATGATTTGCTGAAACTCTTACCACACTGAGTACATGTGAATGGTTTCTCTCCAGTGTGTATCCTCATGTGTAGATAAAGGGATGATGATTGGCTGAAACTCTTCCCACACTGACTGCATGTGAATGGTTTCTCTCCAGTGTGGATCCTCATGTGTTGATTAAGGTATGGTGATTGGCTGAAACTCTTTCCACACTGACTGCATGTGAATGGTTTCTCTCCAGTGTGGATCCTCATGTGTTGATTAAGGTATGATGATTGGCTGAAACTCTTCCCACACTGAGTACATGTGAATGGTTTCTCTCCAGTGTGAATCCTCATGTGTTGATTAAGGTTTGCTGAGTTGCTGAAACTCTTCCCACACTGGGTGCATGTGAATGGTTTCTCTCCAGTGTGGATCCTCATGTGTTGATTAAGGTTTGCTGAGTAGCTGAAACTCTTCCCACACTGGGTGCATGTGAATGGTTTCTCTCCAGTGTGGATCCTCATGTGTTGATTAAGGTGTGATGATTGGTTGAAATTCTTCCCACACTGAGTGCATGTGAATAGTTTCTCCCTATTGTGGACCCTCATGTGGATCTTTAGTTTGCTTTTGTTTGCCAAACTCTTCCCACACTGATTGCAGGTAAAACAACGCTTGTCTCTCATTTTTAAAATATCATCAGTCTCTAAATGAGTTTTGTCTTCAATTTTGACATGATGTTCCTCCTCTTTACTCCTCTCATACTCTTTAAATAGGTCTGAAATAATAATAAATAAAAAAGTTCAGCTTTTAGTAAATCATTAAAACTCTCAGTGAAAAGGAAGTGAAAACTTTAATTTTGATGCACATTAAATGTAAAAACAGCAGATAATATTTAGATTGATCTTGTCATATTAACCTCCTAGTGTCCATTACACACAAACACATTTAAGCAGATACTTATATGATTAATCCCAGAGCATTTTGGTCATACTGATGAGACATAAATTTGAAAGCTGTAAATGGCCAGTTTCTATTTGTAATATTCGTCATCACACAAAACAACATGTTTTTGTAAAACTTGTAAAGCAGATAGGGAATGCTTTTTCATTCTGTGCCTGACTGGTAAACCTGTCAAAAAAAAAAGCAGCTGAATCTCTGAGAATATTTGCCCCACAGACATGAGACATATCTGCATAACATCTGCATAAAGCCTTAAACCTGCACCTTTAGATGACAAATGTTCTCTGGTTTAGTAATCTGCATGTAACGAATGCAATGCAGAATACTAACACTTAACTGTTTCAGATCATCAAACAAATGTAAATATTAGACAAAGATAACATAACTAAATGCATTGTGCAGTTTTTAAATAAAGAATTTTATTCTTAAAAGGAGGACAAAACACTGAACTACACAGACTTGTGTGAAAATGTTTTTCCCCATTAAACATAACTTTATTTATCACACCGGGTTCAAGTTCTCTAGCCACACCCAGACCTGATAACTACCACACGTTCTCAATCAAGAAATTACCTAAATAGGACCTGTCTGAAGTAGACCAAAAGAGCCTCAAAAGCTAGACATCATGCCAAAATTTAAAGACATGTAAACACAAATGAGAAAGAAAATTCTTGTGTCATAAGTTAAAAAAAAACAAAAAACAAAAAAAAACTGAATCAAATGCAGAAAAACAACAAGGGTTTATTAAGGAGTGAGAACCGGAAAAAGCAAAAATCAAAGTAAAAACCCGGTCGGGTGAGCGCTGATAAAGTTTCATGGGAAAAAACAACCAGACACTCACTCACTAGCGGTCCTGGACACAAATACAGGGTGAGTAACAAAATAATATGCACACAAATTATCGATAACATACTGACAAACATGAAGGGAATGATGTGGTATAAACAGGAAAAAAGGGAAACGAGAGCTTCTGTGACTGCAAATAAAAGCAGATGACATGAGATAATCTGTAACCCAGAACAGGAGAAGAGAGCAAAAGCGTGAGGTACGGTGACAGTACCCCCTCTCTCAAGAACGGCCCCTTGCATTCCCTTAAGACTCACTATGGAACTAATGAAACTGATCAATGAGAGAGCGGTCCAGAATATCCAGAGCCGGAATCCAACATCTTTCCTGTGGACCATAACCTTTCCAGTCTACCCGATACTGATAACCTCTCTACCTCTCCTCCTCACATGCAGGGGCCAGTGCACTGTGTATGTGAGTGCACCCTCAACCAGTCTGGGAGGCAGAGGAGCAGAGGTTATGGGGTGCAGTGGGGAGAGAAGCATGGGTTTGATCTTAGACACCTTAAAAAAAAGACTGGATGAATGTTTTTAAACTTAGACTTAATTTGAGTTGAACCAACACTAGACTGAGCACCTTGATAATGGGAAATGGTCCAATGAAGTTGGGTCCCAATTTATGTGAGGGAAGTCTGAGAGGAATGTCTTTAGAAGACATGGCTAAAGCCATAAAGAATCCGATTCCATGGACCGAAGAATGTGAGAAGGCTTTCACAGATACAGTACATGTCCCTGTCGAAGGTCTGTAATGTTAAGCTAATTATTCATTAAAGGCCAAGCCATTCTCATACGTGACGTACTGTTCTTTGTGAGACTGAAATGTTGTTAATAGCTGTGTTTCCATCCAAAAATAAGAACTAAATTTATTTGCAAAACTGGAATATTGCATGAAAAATACACAAATAAATCAGCATTTCCATCCAATGAATCAAAGAGAACAAAATCGTCACTTCCTGATTAACTGGTTCCAAGTATCAACAGTAAAAACAGAATTTATTACGGTAGAAGAAGTTACATGAATCTTTTGCTTATTTAATAAATGACTTTCCCCTCAGAGGACAATGAACATGTGGTGGCGTTTGAAGCCATGAGATGCAGAGAACAGACTGTAGGAACTCATCGGCATTTTTCAGTGGTCAACACAAGTTGAATCTGAAATCTTGGGCATCTCCAATGGTCTCATTCATTGAACTAGCTTGAGGGCTTATACCATCAGGATAACAAAGCGCCAATTGATTTCGGGCTCCTCTGACCAGTACTTCTATGCAGATGTTCTGGCACCCTTCGGCTAACTAGCCAATGATTAATTAAATCAGTTAAATTAAAAAACAATGGCCCTTACAGGATCTTAAGCAGAAACCATTTCACGAGACTTTTAATTGACTCCTGGTCATGTGCTCGCCTTGGGCACATCCTGCTAGAAGCACAATTTCGTAGAGACAAAGAGATTACTAGAAACATTAATGTATATGAATAAAAGACAATCTCTTAAAATGTTAGAACTAAGGCAGATGTATCTTTGAATAATATGCCATAATGTTCCTCATATGCTGTTTATTCCAATCAACTAGGTTAATCAATGTGTTGTTTTAACCCTTATAACAGAGTAAAATAATCTGTATGTGTCTGAAATGTATGATGTCTGGTATTGAACGAAAGCTAGTGACATTTGCAATACGTTGGTGTAAATGAAAAACTAGTAGTACAAACAGTATTCATCTTGTAACGTTTGATGTAAGATAGTTTCAATCTTGCAAGAGTTCTACCACGTGAAATCTACATGCAGTCTGTTAATTATTGACCTTTCCTACGTCAGTACGGGGTGTGTCCCGCCCTTCATGGCAACTGCTCATTGGCAGACAGTGCCATGGGGACGAACCAGACCAGATCACTTAAAAACACCCTGCAACAAAGAAACTTTGCTTTTTGCATCAGCTAGCTTGCGCATGCTTTTGCTCTCTGCCCCCTTTCGCCTGCCCGGACACCGCGCCGCCACGCGATTGGGTCACCACGAACTTCCACGCAAACCTCTTAAGTTTCGGGACTCAAAACCGCAAAACCGACTCTCAGCAGTTCGTCACCTAGGTAACCCAGGACAACAGCCATTCACGAGCGTGTGAATCCCAAAGACGTCATCGAAGCGAGAAACCACCCAATCAGGAGCACCGTGTTTCCCCAAGGCCAGCCGGCGAGGGAGATTCGACTTCAGCAAAAAGGGCGCAAGTAACAAACTAATGTTGTCTCTTGCTGATCTTGTGCAGATTGATCTTAAGCAGTTAAAGATAAGCCATATCTCTGCTTTTGTGGTTTCTCAGGTGTTATTCTAAGATCTTGCAAAAGTATTAGAATTAATTTGGGACGTTGTCAACTCATATTGCATCCTCTGAACTACCTCTGTGTGTATGTGTGAATGTGTGTGTGCGTTTGTTTGTTGTTTGCTTATTACGTAGTTAGTTTCATGTATCGTAGTGTAGCTCAATAAATCTTTGTACTCATTTTGTAAGAACTGTGTTCTTGTTTGTGTGCTTCTAAGTCATTGCCTCGAGCTGTAGATCTTGTTACCTTGCTAAAGATCATCCAATACTGTGTTATGTTATTATCGTTGGCCACGTAAATAATATTAACAAGATTGGTAAGATACGATGTCTTCTATTTGCGGGACAAATGGTAGATAAAGTGTGAATCTTTTAATCTGATTCAATCTGACTCAATTGAGTCAAATCAATGATTCGAACCTTCAGGATCCGATTCATTGAAATGAGCTAATAAACCCCTGATCGATATTAAAACGTAGGTTGATCCCCTACTCTTGACACACTCCAGACGCTCTGGAGATCATTAATAATATAATAACATGAATACTGAAATGGTTCAGGTGTTTTAGAATGACCAAAACAACATTTTAGATGTTCTGCAGTGTGCTCAGCCTGCTGGTTTGTGCATTCACACACATTTGTATCATCATATAATCTCTTATAACCAACCCTTTTTAATGCACAAACTGGAATTTGTTCAGTAAAGGTGCTTGCGTAGTTTACGTAAGTTTATCTTTTCTTATAAAATAAAAAGTTTATCCTACTCAGTTATGCGCATGTTTTTATGCCAATATTTCAAAAGTTATGTGCATCATGACATTTCCATCAACCAATTTTTTTATGCTCATAGCCCATCCAAAATGCACTTAAAAATACGTGGCTGGAAACGTAAGGCTAAGCGAGAAAAAGGAAAGAAGACTGACAAAAACTCACGAGTTTAGAGAATAAAACCTGCTACTGACCAGGTAGGTTCACAGAGTAAGTTACCACGGTAACTGACTCGCAGTTAAAGTTAGATCTCTTTCAGAAACTGGCTTACCCTGCTTTCTCAAGTTTGACAAACCTGCCATTTTGAAATGATAACCCAGACTTTCTCTCATTTCAGGATTAAAATACTCTGAGTTTTTACTTGACCTCCATTCTGAAACAGGGCCCTGAACTCATATGCTATTGTTTTAGAACTTCAATTGCCTATTGGAGAAATGACCAGGATTAATAAACTTGCTCCACAAACAAATGTGTTCATGACTATACATACAAAAAACAATAAAATAAGAAAATATGACTTTGCAACATCAAGCAGCGTTAGGCATGGGCCAGTATAAGATTCTGACGGTATGATAAGCTTGAATAAAAATATCATGGTTTAACTGTACTTTTTCCCTTTGAACAAAATATTTTCATTGGAGAAACTTTTACAATATCTTGGAGCAGTAAACATGTCTG